TATTTTCAAGGAAATTTTGTGGGAGACTTGAGCTGTTTTTTACAAAGCCCTCCTTCTAGCTCTAAATTATTGACGTTAAAAATGACTAAGTCAAATTTGATCAACTTAATAGGTGATTTGATAGAGGTGAAAATGCAGAAATAGTAGAAAGAAAGAAATTTGTATTAAGGAGAAAGCTTGTAGAATATGTATTGTGTGCACATTTAGTCCCCTCCCCATTGAGGAACTATTTGGTCCTATTTATAAGCTCCAAAAATAGCCAACTGGCCTCCAAAATAGGTTATCTACAATACTTTCCTAGAATTGTGTGCCACTGCGCATGCTTTCCTTGAATTGTGTGTTATTGCCTATGTCTTTCTTAGCCCATGATGATGTCGAGGTGGTGGATAATCATTGCAAGCCTTTGATTGGTTGAAAGTAAGGCACAATCATCATGAACGCTACGTGTCGTTGGGGGTATAGTAATATGGTAGGCCATAGCATCATGGACGAGGCACATGTGGCAGTGAAGCAATGCTGGTGTTTTCAGGATGACGGTTGGTATGGTCGAGTTGACCTAACTTCGTAGAGCTGACCTGACTTGATAGAGCTCATGGGTAGAATTGACCCGGTGGCCTCTTAATCTATCATCTTTAAAGTGACTATTAAATTCTCATAAGTCCTCCTTAAATTAAAGTAAGTCCGAACTTATTTTTTGGACACCAACAAATAATAACTTACTTTACATTTTTCAACATGTATTTAATTTATTCAATCGTTTGAATCATTTAAACAATATTTATCATTAATTATATTGTCAACTATTTGGTTATGATGAATGTATATTTGACGCATTCATTGCCTCACTTTTCATTTTTTAATGCGTATTTTATTTATTTAACCATTTGAATAATATTATCATAAACTATTTTGTTAACTATTTAATTATGATCAATGTACATTGACATATTCATTCATCTTGATTGATTACTAAATTAAATTCATTAAATTTTTATGAACAAAAGATGATATTTTGAGCATTTTCTTCAAAATGATTATTCAATGAATGTTAAGATACATACTTATTGATCAATGTGCAATTGACAGATTCATTACATTTTCGTTTTTTTAATATGTATTTGATTTATTTAACCATTTGAACAATATTATCATTAATAATGTTTTAACTATTTAGTTATGATCAATGTACAATTGACAGATTCATTCCACTTGATTGGACGATAAATTAATTTCATTAATTTTTTTGAAACAAGAGATAAATATTTTGAGAGTTTTCTTCCAATTGATTAGTCAATAAATGTTAAGATACAAAGAATGTAACCGGGGGGATATAATGCGTATCTATAATAAATAATTCCAATTGATATATACAATGCATATTAAATGAAGATGAAAAAATGATTGTATCCGTTTAATGTTGATAGAAATGATAAATAAATGGACTACTTTAATTGACTTCTTCAACTATTTAAATTATTTTCGCAAACTGATTTTATTTCATTTGAATCATCAAATATTTCACTTTATTTTCTAGCAAATCAACAGAAAAGTTTTAGCCAAATCGAGGTTGCTCCCGTACCATAGAATCAAAGGTTATATAAGACTTATTGGCTTATGAAAATGAATAATTCATTAAAATGATTGTAATTCGAAAAAATTTCGTTGAATCTTATTTCAACAATGCTGGTAAATATGATACTTTGAGGCTCATTTTAATTGATAAGGAAGTAATACGTCTACTATGATGACTATTTATTTTGTAATTATATTTTATATGAAAAGTAACATAATATTTGACTTCTCTATAGGGATATACATTTCAGGCCATGTTATTCAATGATGCAATTGAAAATTTTGATGATAACAAAGGTAGAAGAGATCATTGAACGTATATGCGATAAGATATCAAACTCTTCTACAATTCAATGAAATACCAAATTTCGCTAGCAAAAATATCGTGATTTGTAATTAAATTTTTCAGTCAAATGCATAATTTACAATCATGTCCGGAGAATCTTACTAAGTGCCTATTTGAATCGGATTAAAATCTGATTTTAATTTAAGTCAAAGTCAAACAATCAATATTAATCACATCTTGTATGATGAGTCTCATATCTTTTCAACCACATATTTCAAAAACTTCTATTACAATCTACTAAAAATCTAATTTTAATCTCCACCAAAAACCTTCTAAGTATGAGTTTTAAAATTGAATAATGCTATGTGTACACAAACTTTCACACAATCTTTTACACCCCCTCACATGGAGGGGGGTCCACACATAATAAAATAATCGTGGGCCCCCCTCCATGTGAGGGGGGTGTAAAAGATTGTGTGAAAGTTTGTGGGTACATGTAGCATCACCCTTTAAAATTTCAAAAAGTCTACCCATATTTTATAATCAGGTCATATTTTATTTATAGCTGTTTATTGAAATTTGAAAAGCCTCCACACCACGCTAAGAAAAACATGGTGTAGAAATTTATGGTATTTAAGGTTGTTCAGTGGCCAATAAATTATTTTTTTGTTTATTTTTTTCTCCTTGTTTTCAGATATCATAGGATTGATAATTCAAGTAAAACATGTGTTTGTCATCAACGTTAAGAGGCCAAGGGAAAGAACAACTAAGAAACTGGAAGTGATTCTCCTCGACGGTCGATAAACGTCATCCATAAATCAAACAAATATTTTTTTTAACTATTTTTTATATTTACATATTTTCGAATATTACTTTTATTAACACTTATAAAGTATTTTAAAATAGAAAAATTCTACTTGTACATCAACTTTTGTACATAAGGAGTTACACCCCGCTCACATGGGGGTGGGACCCACTGCATAAAATTTTTTTTATTTAAGCGGGTCCCACTCCCATGTGAGGAAGGTGTACACCCCGATGTACATTGTGATGTACAAGTAGTAAAGTCGTTTAAAATAACGTACTATGTACGTTCAACTATAATTAGTTTTTGAAAATATTGAGAGGATGAAAAGGCTATACGAAAACGAGGAAAATAAAATGAAAATCCTGAGTGCAGTATCCTTAAACTTTACGTCGTGCGTGTTTGACTGTATTAATAAGATCCATTGAGAGTGATGAAGTCGTAACATGACAAATAAGCCAGTCAGAACTGTCCGGGCCCACACCACCCACCACACACCGCCAATCAATACCCCACTCTTACTGTCATCTCATGCGAACTCTCCCCTCTCCCCCACAGTTTTGAACCCAAGGTTTTTGCTCTTCAATTTTTGAATTTAATTAA